CTCTCCGCAAATAGCGGAGAGGATGTAGGACTCGGGAGCTATAATAGGTTTGGTAACCAGGCTACCTCCAGACAACCTTCAGTGAGTTCAGACATGTGTCCTAAGTACCTAAGACCTTACATCGTTGAAACAGCTTGCATGGCGAGAATACTAGTTTTTAGGATCATTCAGGCCACTTCGGTCTTCAAATGCTTGATCAAGAACACCTGCAAGTACGGCCGCATCCTGACAATGTGACATCAATATTTGAAGGAATTTATCTATTCCTTGTCTTCCTTCCAGTTTCACCTCCCCCTCTTACCCTTTCTTCCCCGAGCTCTCTCTACTTCCTTTCCCTCCCCTTGGCCTTTTCGTCTTTTGGCCTTTTAGACGTCCCAGTGTTTTTCTTGGAACCACTTCAACAATTTTACAGTCGGCCACAAACTTTTATATCAAACACGTCTGCACCATGTGCCGATGCCAGGGGTGTTTCTGCTGAGAATCCAGATACTGGAAATAATCGGCAACTCCAAATAAGGAGTTTTCTAATTGCGGGGTCTCTTTATTTCTTAGCAAGGGGCGGCTAAGAAAAAGGCGACCTCTGAACTGAGTCTGGGTTTGGGTCTTTGATGGATCATTTTGCATTTGGCTCCACGAAGCTTGAAATTGCGACCAACTTTCCTCAACATCCTTAAGTCGACTGCAAAACTAGTCTACAACTAACCTATCAGCTTGTATTTGTACAGTAAAGTTGATGTAGTGTTGTCCTCTTGTAGGCTATGCAAGCCTTTCAATGTTGAAAAGTGCATTTTTTTCTGTACAAGAGTGAAGCATAAGACGTTTCACCTGTACATCTGCATTCGTAAGATTGTTGAAAAGGGGGTCAAGAGTTTGTCGAGTCTCGTTTTGCCTAGAAGTAAGTTAGTAGTCTAGGGGTCAGAGGGTATCCGTGATCTGTCAGTTACAAAAAGAACAAAATGTCGCCTGCGGGGAAGGGGCATGTGGTGTAGTGGGTTTCACCTAGCCTCCACCTGGTCTTTGTACGGGAATACGGATCGTAGAACTCGGCAAAAAGGAGAGTAAAGTTGTCCAGGGGAGTCAGTCCGTGGGAAGGTTGTTTCTTTCTCTGCGCGGCCAGTCAAACCCCAAGGTGGCCAAACTCTCCTGGAAAATATTCTCCTATATATAGCCAGTGTAGTTAGTCTGGTAGAGACAAGGCTTTACCTGTTTTATCTGTAGCTGGGCTACCTGACACCTGGTAACAAGAGCTGCGTGATGCCCCAGGGCTATGTTTCTGACCTGTGTTCGAGAGTTCATTTTTTTCGCTTGGTTGGATGGGTGCAACGTACGACATGTCACCAAACGAAAGACTTTTCAACTTTTCACCAGAAGGCGGTGCACTGTGTCACATTGACGATAGTATACGAATAGTACCGGATATATGATTCAATACTTCAGAGTCTAATCTATTGCCAACATGACTTCCGATGGCGGATATCCAACCACTATATTTCCATTCCAACATTCATAGTATCACAAGACATGGCGACGGCACACTCATAAGTTTTTTTGTGCCGCCACCAACGCAGACAAACGCAGGGACAACAGATATACTCATTTTCACCTGGAAATTCGTGCAAAGTGCATTTCCCAAGAGCACAAGATCGGTGTCATGGCAGGATTCGAACTCGGGACCTCTTGGTTCTGAGCCAAACGCTCTGTCATTACTCCACACGACCCCAGCCGCTATGTGATCATCCATTTCCAAGATACCAGACATTGAAGCCCACAGGAAAGCGAGTCTCTCTCAGAGTCAGATGTTCAGTCAGACGGACCGCAAAGGTTACTTCTGACTTCTGACGTTTAGCCCCCGAGGCGCGCAGTTGGGCAGTTTTCATTGGGGGCGTTCCATTTCATACATGGGGATAGTCTAGGGGCTAGTCACGAAAACTACATTCAGCGTAGTTTACTGCTACTGTACTGTATTAGGCTATTCGTTGTTCTTTTCTATCAGATCTTGGTCGAATATACCGTACGTCCAGTGTAGCAGTCCTAAACATACCCCTGCCAAATTGTACCTGGGGGTAGGCTGATCAGGGGTTTAGTTTGACATGTTACACCGGTGGGCGGTGCCGGGGTTGTAGACTGTCACATCACTATGCACGCTAGAGGCTTGACCCTTCTCAGGAAAACTTTCAAACCGTCTGACATCGGGCAGGATTCGAACCCGGGACCTCTTGGGTCTAGTCTAAGCCGAACACGCTACCGCTACGCCACACGACGCCCTCTCACACTCTCTCATTGCACTGTCCCTCTCTTCACACAGTGTCCCTGTGAGTACTATGCACGCTAGGGGCTTGACCCTTCTCAGGGAAAAACTTTAATACATCTTCCGAATGACATCGGGTAGGATTCGAACCCGGGACCTATTAGGTCTAGTCTAAGCCGAACACGCTACCCCTACGCCACACGACGCCCTCTCCCACTCTCTCATTGTACTGTCCCTCTCTTCGCACAGTGTCCCAGTACTATGCACGCTCGAGGCTTGACCCTTCTCAGGAAAACTTTCAGACATCTTCCGTCTGACAGCCGTCCGTCTGAACCCGGGACCTCTTGGGTCTAAGTCGAACACGCAATCGCTACGCCACATAACGTCCTCTCACTGCACTATCCCGAGTTGCTTTGCGCGCAGGGAGGGTAAGATAGCACGCACCCCCCATCTGTGTGTCACTCTGTGGTCGCGGGTAGGATAAAGGGGACCGAACCATTGCGCATCCCGGGGAATCGGTAGGGGAGACGCATGTCAAGTTTAAAAAAAAAAAAAAAATCCCCGCGCAACGACCCAGTCATTTCGCCTCTGTTTGGGCGCTAATGGCCTTTCGCGGCCCCAGTACAACTCTCATATCTTAACCCGAGCAGAGAGCAAAGTGACGAGGGATTTGGTACTGTCCCTCTCTTCACACAGTGCCCCAGTTCTATGCACGCTAGGGGCTTGACCCTTCTCAGGAAAACTTAAAGACATCTTCCGCCTGACATGTGCGAGAACTCCTTCTTGACAGTTCACCCCGTTGCTAGGCAACGCCGCATTCCTCTCGCTAACTCCGACCAGACAAGACTCCAACTTTGTTTACTTCGTGACGTCAGCAAAACAAACTGTTTAGATATGTCAAGAACGATGTAAACAAACTGTTTAGATGTCCTGATGAGGGTTCGAGAAAACATTCGATTAGTTTTACATTTTATCATTTAAGGCAATAATGTGAAAATAACCATATCAGATGAAATAGTACGAAGAGTTTGAAAATAATATTTGAAACTTTTCTGTGACTTTTTTTAAACTACCAAACTTCTCGTAATTCAAAATTTATGAAGCAATTTGATGAATTCTCTGGCCCAGACGTTTCAGATAGGATCCACTATCATTCTAGGTCACTGATAAAACGTCTGACTCTTAAATTTACCCAGCTGTTTATTTTCTCTTGCATTACGTTTTGTTGTACCTGGATGTCTAACCTTCATTGACGGACCAAAACACTCTGTTACAAACTAAATCAAATACTGTAAACCTTGTTGGACCATTGTGTTCTTGACGTGTCCATGAATTTAAAACTTTTTACCGGTTGACCGCACTGGTGTTTCCGCAAGTTATGCCGGGTCATGTCTCCCTATCTCCCAAAATAAGCAAAGATGTGGGGGAAAAGGTACACAAACATGAACATCTGTCACTTTCCCTGACCAAAGTCCGGCTAACCCTGCGGTAACCTGCAAGGAGAAGACATCGTGTCAACAGTTCATGCGTAATTCCTAAACGAACTTCCTATCTTACCACTTTACCAAGGGAAACAATTAAGAACAGATATTATAATTTCACAGTACATTTTCAAGTAGGGCACTTCACCATATTCTAAACAGTTGAGATTTTGAGAAGGAAGATAGTTATAAATTGATTGATTGATTGATTGATTGATTGATTGATTGATTTTTTTCGCCATACAGTACCTGGAGCGGAGGTTCTCCAAAGGGGTACGCCGGGTGGGATCCGCTACCTTCATCCTGCAGATGGTGAGTCAAGGAGAACGGACCATTTTCTGCAGTTGTCATGGAAATCGCTAGGTGATGCTGTAAAATACCATAGAGATTGAGAATGAGAGCGAAGCCAGTCAAAGTTTAATTTTGCACGACAATTGTTATAGGTAGTACCGCACAGTATTGTACAATCTACGTGTATTCACCAATATTGTAAGCTATATAGTATTCAATTTGTTCGAATGTACAATGTATAAAGCAAAGCGTTGTACTGTACAAGGTCTGGAGAGTTGAGCTGTACTGTTTTGTATTACAGGTGATGTACATGGGAATTGTGCTGTACGCACCGTCACTGGCCCTGGAGGCAGGTATGTTGGGAATGAAGGAACGAACTAACGAACGAACGAATGAATGAATGAATGAATGAATGAATGAATGAAATGAACCGTCGCCTTTGCGAGGTAGCACCCAGCAGCCTCCTTTAAGCTACAGATAGACATTTTTTTCTTCGAGATGACAATTGCAAGTTGGGGTAAAAATATGTTGCCTTGGTAGAGCCTGTGCTTGAATCTTATATCTACTTATAAATCGTTACGTTGTTTTACCTCCCCAGTGACGGGTATGAACGTGTGGGCCGCCGTCCTGTCTCTCGGCATCATCTGTACCTTCTACACAACTATCGTAAGTTCACCTTGTACGTCTGGTTGTCACGTAATGAAGCTCAAGATTTTTGTCAAGATTTGATAAAAGAATGAGAACTTGAAAAGTAACATTTTCAAAGCAAAATGCAAATGATTAATGTTGCAACAGGAGTCTAAATCCCTCCTACTATAAAGTTGCAACATTATGTAATCCTACACTAGTAACCATGGTCACAGCCGTCTGGTTCATTCAGGTCAGAGGTTACTGTTTGTAGAAGAAGAAGAGGAAACGTAGCAAAAACAGTATGTTTTCCTTCGATAAACATAATGTAGTAAAATTTTGTTCCGTTTCCCTACAGGGTGGTATGAAGGCCGTACTGTGGACCGACACGTTCCAGGTGTGTGTGATGGTGGCGGGGTTTCTCGCTGTGATTATCCAGGGGTGCTCCCAGCTCGGCGGCATCTCTCAGGTCTGGCAAACCAACTACGAGGGAGGACGGCTGGAGTTCTTCAAGTACGTTCCACATGCGATATGCATATTTTTTTATATTATGTTAATTAATGGAAAACATATTGCTTTTGCTGCGTTTCCTCTTCTTTTTCTTCTCCAAACAGTGACCTCTAACCTGACTGAACCTGACTGTCTCTCACTATGGTAACTGGTGTTGGGTTACATAATGTTGCAATTTTATAGTACAATGTAGTAGGGATTTAGACTGCTGTCACCATAGATGTGTTTGAGTACGAATTGACCGCGCAGACCATATGCGAAGGTATATGGTCTGAGGAAGGTGACAGACGGTTACCGAAACGTCGGCTGAGTAAAAGACTTGATTGTGTAAAAAGAGTCTCTTTACTCAGTGTCTTACCAACCTGATGAAACTATTCACGGATGACTTCGATCGTCCCCGCAGTTTTGACCTGGACCCCCGTGTGCGCCACTCCTCCTGGTCCGTGCACATCGGCGGAACCTTCATGTGGATCGCCATCTTCGGCGTGAACCAGGCGCAGGTCCAGCGCTACCTCACCGTGGACAGGCTCAGCAGGGCACAGATGTAAGAAATAAACATTTTTTTCTTCTCTCAGTCAAAGTTTAGCCTGGGTGCCATCCGATTTGTAATGGCAACCCCGAAAAAATCGTCCAGGCTAGTCAAAGTTAAAATTTCTGCCAGAATTTGGACGATTCAGGGCCTCCACCAGGCTTCCGGGAGCGGCAAACTGTTCTCTTAGCGAGGACCAACTCTGCAGGCATATGACTGTCTATTTGGCCAATTTCCAGCCGCTTCCCGAAGCCTGGTGGAGGCTAAACTGTCTAATGAACGTGTCAGTGTCTGCATGAGTAAAGATATCTTATGCTAGCATTTTTTTCAGTACCATGTTTACAGTATTGCGGTCTTGTGCTGTACCGGTATACGAGTACCTTATCGACTTCACCGCATGTGTATGTAGCTACGGTTCTGATTTTGAGTGCCCAGAGTGGCATGACTGTTCTTTATTTTTGATTTTCAGTGCCCTGTACCTGAACGTTGTCGGGCTGTGGCTGATCGTGACCCTGGCTAGCCTGTGCGGACTGGTTCTGTACGCGTACTACAAGGACTGTGATCCGGTCACGGCAGGATACATCAGTACTTCGGACCAGGTAATGAGTTCATAAATCCCCGATCGCCTTTCCTCACTCACTCACTCACTCACTCACTCACTCACTCACTCACTCACTCACTCATTCTCAAACCCACTCACTCACTCACTCACCCACTCACTCACTCACAAACTCACTCACTCACTCACATAGTCAGTCACTCACTCACTCACTCACTCATTTGTTCATCTATTTATTTTTTTGCCGATCTTTCATTTATTTCATAATTTTTCCTTCTAGAAGTATTTATATCATTTCTCAGCGTCCCATTTGAAACAAGACGAAATTATTTTGTTTTTTATTTTTATTATTTTATTTCTTTTTTATTTCTAGATTTGGGGATTTTAAGCATAATTTTCGCATTCTTTCTCGGTATGTGTAGTTGATGCCCCTGATTGTTATGGAGATCCTGAGCTGGTTACCAGGTCTGCCTGGCCTCTTCGTGTCCTGTGTGTTCGCCGGCGCTCTAAGGTGGGTCTTTCTTGTTCTTTCTTGCACTAATATCTGACCAAGGGCTCTTCCAGTAACCATTTTCCGTCAGAATTTAGGGAATTTTTGCTCGATGACGGTCAATATACATTGGGATAGTGTGGTTTCAACTCACTATGTAGACAAATGACTAGAATATTGGCTTTACAAAATCAGGTTTCTAAGGCCTAGAACTGCATTGGATGCCTAACACGCTCCTTTACGTCCCTTTTCGCCACAGCACGATGTCTTCTGGTTTGAACTCTCTGTCCGCCGTGACACTTGAAGATTTCGTCCGTTCCTTCAAGAAGGATCTGACAGAGGCCCAGTACACCATGATATCTAAGATCCTCGGTAAGACCATTCGCGTGTTCACTTCTACAACCTAGATTTACCATATTATTTCTCTCTGTCAGTCTCGTAAGACTATTTCTTAACTGCGCAAAATAAGATGGTACAGTTCCTTTACAAATCGAATTCGAGCTCAAAGACTCATTCCCTTGTTGACCTCTACAACATAGTTTACCATTCTCTCTGTCAGTCAATCTCGAAAGACACTAATAATGTTCAATGTTTTGTGTCCTCCTTAGTGGCCATCTATGGCGGGCTGATGATGCTGATGGCTTATGTCTCATCTTTTCTTGGAGGCATCTTGCAGGTAATTCTAACATCTCAAAGAAACTCACAAAACATTGATGAAAGGAAACGCAATACCCAGCTCTCTTTGACCTCTACCAACTTAATTCTGTCCATTATCAAGTAACATGACTTATGAGGTTTATACTTTCGACCCAATGTTCGGTATTACCTAAGGCCTTCGTCTAGGAGGATTGACCCATCACGTGACTCCAGTAGTGGGTCAAAGCTCCCTTGCCATATAAGAAATGTTGATTTCCATTCATTCCAGGCTGCGCTGAGTATATTCGGGATGATCGGCGGGCCTCTACTCGGGCTCTTCACTCTCGGCATCCTCTTCCCATGGGCCAACGTCTGGGTGAGTTACACCAAACTTCTAAGAATACGTTACGACAGACTAAGACATGCTTCCGTACATTCGTACGTACGTACAGACATTCGGTCATATCTACTGACCTATTCATAGTAAATGATAGCAACTTTTAGCCTGGTACGTATCTAAACTCATTATTGCTGCATTGGTTGATCGGAGACTGTTTGACGTTCGCCTGAAATACGGTCGAGATCGGACACAAGGGACGAAAGAGACCCGGCAGCTAAGTAGGTTTGGGTACCAGACTAGGTAACTTCAAGTTGAGAAATATCTACGTTACGTAATCTATAATTTCTATAAATATCATTTGGATATTAGTTTGATTTTTACTTCCAGAATAGTTTCATCAGGTTGGTAAAGTATAGGATATAAGGGTTTTCAATTACACAACCAAATATGCCTACCTTGCTTACGTTTCGGTGTCTCTCATCAGACACCTTCTACATACTAGTAGCTTCTGACTGAAGTTCTGCCTATAGCGGCGAGAAGCAGAACTCCAGTCAGAAGCTCTGAAGAAGGTATCTGGGAGACACCGAAACGTCAGCAAAGTAGGAATATTTGGTTGTGTAAAAAACAAACCTCCCATCTCCGTCATGGGCCATACATTGTACCTGTGACAATCGTTGTGCAATAAACTTTGACGTGACGTGTTTTTTTCCCAAACCAGGGAGCCTATGCGGGGACGGCCGTGTCCTTCCTGATAGTGTTCTGGGTGGGGATCGGTGCGCAGGTGTACAAACCGCCGGTCAACAAACCTCCCATCTCCGTCATGGGCTGCCCCCGGGTCAACGAGACCGTCAGTAACGTCACCATGTCAGCCGTTACCATGGTAACAGACATGTTTGCCACGACGGAGGCCGGTCCGATGGTGGACGACAGGTAGGATGACGAAATGTGGATCAGGAAAAAGAGGATGGTTACCTTTTTATACATGGCCCGTTTTTTCTGTCGCTAACCCTACAAAAAAAACGGGCCATGTATACAAAGGTAACCATCCTCCCCCATCAACCTCTGCTCGGAGAGTACATATATCTACCCTATATCAATAGCTTAAGCTTACAAAAACTGGCTACATTACATTGAACGACTTGTTACACCTAACCTTGGAACATCTAACTCTAAACATATTGTTTAAAGCTATCTAGTCATAATGCTCCTACTTTACCTAGTGGCTGCGAGTTCCACTCTGCAATAATTCTAGTGAAGAATGAGTTTTTGAACACGTCATCTTTTTAATATCCAATAGGAGACTGGCGTTCAAAGATTTGAAATGTTTATTCTGCCTCTCGTTCCCAGGCCGGGCGTGGCTAAGTACTGGTACTCGATGTCGTACCTGTACTACAGCGTCATCGCCGTGCTGACGGTACTGGTCGTGGGGCTGGTCGTCAGCTTCATCACAGGTGGGTCTTGGATAATTATGTTTAAATGAAGGAAAACATATTGTTTTTGCTCAGTTTCTTCTTCCTCTTCTTCTTCCCCAAACAGTGACCTCTGACCTAAACCAATCTTGTGTCTGTTACCATGGTAACTAGTGTTGGGTTACATAATGTTGCAATTTTATAGTAGGAGGGATTTGTCACTCACCGTATATGTGAATGTGTTTTGGTAAGAATTAACAGAGCAGACCATATGCGAAGGTAAACATTATGCAATTAGCTACCCTGGTCTTCATTCTGATTGGCCCATCGTCTGCTTCATAACGAAGGGGATGGGGGATTCTTTAATCTGTTCTTTGGTAATATTGGCATTAGCTTTTGCTTCCTTCATTCTGACCGGTCGAGGAAGCCGTTGAAATTCTGTAAATTGGTGAATGGATTCCTCCATACCAAGTTAGCATTATGCATCTTCCATCAACCGATTGTTTTCTCGTTCCCAGGCGCCCAGGACCCCGAGGAGCTCGACCCCAGGCTGATCACGCCGTTCTTTGACACGGTGTGCTGCTGCTTCCCGGAGCGCTGGCGCCGAAAGCTGCGGTGTGGCGTCCCGCACGAGGACAGGGTACGGAGCTCTCTGTAGTTTCATACTTTATCAATCAAGTATTTCTCCTTTCTGTCGACATCATCTGTTTATGCCTTAGTCTCTATCAGACTTCGAAGGGTTGCTGGAAAATAGTTAAATTAACCAAATAGAGTGAATAATAGGCCAGAGGAATTAGCCTACCTAAGGACAATTAGTCTTAAGCACCTAAAGTACAATTTGCAATCCTCAATTCTCTGGCACATTATTTATCAGTAGTTTTTTAAACCAATTTTTGCTATTATTTCCGTAACTCATTGGAGTCTCTTAGATACTAAAACGTTACACGTCTGTCTGTCAGTCTCCTTTTTCTGTGACCTGGGATTGTGACGTAAGCAGCAGGTCAAAGGTGGTTGGAAGTCGGTATCGACCCCCGTCCCAGTTCAAGGACTGTTGCTGGGGCCTGATGAAAGCTTCATCTACTCTTCCCTATTTTCAGTCTTCCCTTTTCTTTTATATTTATTGTCACACAGCTGCTCTTGGTAACAAGGTTCAGAAGACCCTAAGTTTTGTACTTATTGTTGTCACTCACGTTTGAAATTGATGACGAAATGAACCCCTTCCCTACATGCGTTACAAAAGGAACTCTGGATGGAAAGAGATATGAAGGCGGAGGACTCAGAGCAAGGTCAGGATCCTGTCGAGTTAAAACCAGTCGGTCGAGACTCACAGAAACCACTTCTCAGGCGCAAAGTGCCATGGGATCATAGCCCACCAGAGGTGTTTGTGACTAACTTCGTGCAAATGGTGTTCACAATGGTGGTGGTCTAGCCTGGGTGCGGTATTATTTGTATACCGGGGCTCCCATACGCTCCTGATGGCACCTAGGCTAGCGGTGATCATGTATAACTAGAGGTCGGAGATCTCATGTCTTCGTCAGAGGTACATCGTTCTAGAGAAATTAACATGCGTATTCTTCAATCTTTTTAATAATCAATTTGGTCTAAAGAACAAAAGAATCTCTGTACTATTTTTATGGTACAGAACACCCTGAAACGGTTTGCCGCAGATTATACAGATGCGTCGTCACCCGTGTTAGCCCCCCCCCCTACCGTTATTTGTAGTTGGTACTGTTACTTGGAAAAAAACGGTTAACTAGAAAATTACTTACTGTGTTGTAAAGTAG